ATTTAACATACTAAAAAACCGTTCCACCAAGGAGACCGGAAGTGCAACAATGCTGGCCGATTTGGGCAAATTATGGTGGGTTCACAGAACTGAAATTTGGGATAATTTGACATACCTAACCTATAATTTGATTAGTTTTTCTTCTTATTCTTCTTCTATTCCTTTTTCGGGCGATGTCCTTCTGGAAAATTCACCCATGATTTGATTTTTTATGAAAGAAAATATAAAAATGGAAACGTGAAGCATATTGTGTCTTCAGGAATGAACGTTTATTGTTTATTTCATACTCTTTTTACTTTATTTTCCACAATTAAAACATCTCATCGTAGCTTGTTGACACAATTAAATGACAAATGGAAATAGAGGTTACGTTAAATAACATCCGGTCCGCCATATTATTTGCCCAAATCGGCCAATTTTTCGGAACGTTTTTCAGGGGGCTATATCCTATCCAGTAAAATAATACAGATCAGTGCTCTTGCCCCGTATAGTAATCAAAGTATGTGTTATAAACAGAACTCGGCTCATAGTCCGTCAGATAGTGACAGGTTTAGGTGCCCCATTTTCGCATACAAGCCTCGAAGAGGGTTGAAAAGTACATCGATTTTAAGTAGAATGAAAAGAAATTTACGAGTGGCTGCTGGGGATAAAACATGGAAAATTCGATTTTCCCTAACAAAAAGAAAGGTTATTTGTTGCCCATTTTTCCACGCAAGCCTTTTCACTATATGATTAAGAACTAGGCTTCGGAAAACTAAAATCTTTAATGTTGCAAGTGGCTAAAGGGTTGAAATAAGGGCGTAATCTTCTAAGGAAAAATCGAGATTTTGCCCGATTTTTCCACACAAACCCATCGAATGTATGAAAACGTACGTCGTCACTAGTCCGATAAACATATTGTCTTGAATGACCCGAATGTATAAGTGCTTTTCGGGGTCGGAAAATTTTTCTGATAAGGAAAATCAAATTTTCCATCTGTTATCCCCAACAGCCACTCGTAAATTTTCTTTTAATCTACTCAACATCGATGTACTTTTTAACTCTCTTCGAGGCTTGTATGCGAAAATGGGGCACCTAAATCGGTCACTATCTGACGTTCTATGAGTCGGACTTGGGTAAGGTCCGTATTTAGGTCAATGAACTGGAGTGGGGTAGAATGCTTGTCAATAGGCTTGAGATGCGACCATAGATTACTGATGCGACCCTATGGGCGAAGACAGGTTATTTTTCATCTCACTCGGGAGTATTTATAACAACCATTTTCTATTTCACTTTGTTATTGTCTGATCCACCAGCGTGTGGATTGAACAATAACAATGTGAAACAGAAAATGGTTATTATAAATACTCCCGAGTGAGATGAGAAATTAAAATGGCTGCGCCCATAGAGTCGCAATCTGCACATTGGCTTTCTACCCCACTCATTCATTGCTTGCATCCAATGAACTGGAGTGGGGTAGAATCATTGATCTGGCAACCTAGGGATACGACATGCGTAAACGAAAAGTGGGACCGGTCCGCCATTACTGTGAGTGCAAATTGTCAAATTTTATAGGTTATATTTTTAGTGTTATTTGTGTAATTAAATTTGAATTTAATTTGTGTTTGAGCAAATTTTGAGTGTTAAAAACTTATAAAGTATATAATGCCTTGCTGTGTTATATGTTCCTGCTCTAGCGATAGACGTTTTTGTGAAAAATCGACTGGAATAACGTTTCATAGGTTAGTATCAAAATTATAAATATTATACAGGACAGTATTATGACAGGTTTGTATAAAATGTGTAAAAGTATGCTTTTAAAAATGCAAAAAAATCATCTATCAACTTTTGGGACCACCTATATTGGAATAAATACTTTTTCATACGAAATAATATTTATAGATTTCCAAAAAATCCTGAAAAACGTAGCGCGTGAATACAGTTTGTCAAGAAGCATAATTGGGAACCTTTTAAATTCAGCTGTATATGTTCCAAGCATTTTCTTGAGAAGTACATTAATCGTACGCTATTTCGTTCATCAAATTTATAGTCATTTTATATATTCTTATTTCTATTTAAATATAACCTACATTTGCGGTCCTTCCACCAATTTTATTTATTAGTTCTACAACTGATTGAAAAGTAGAGCTTCATGTTTTGTGTATGCATGAGTATTGTTTGTTTTATTATAGTTAATTTAAAACAATATTAATATACCTTTTTAATTACCTATAATTTGTTTCAGATTAGTGCGTTTAAAGGAATTGGTGAAAATGAAGCGATTCGCCAGCTTTGGGGATGTGCCAGTAAAAGTGACATCGAAGTTATTCAACGTTTCCAGAATAAAGTATTAAGGAACATCGTCGATGCACCATGGTACTGCCAAAATACTGATCTTCATAGGAACCTTAAAGTGGAGACTGTTGAAAATAAAATATAAACATTTGCCAGTAGTCACCAACAACGACTGCTCCAACATGGAAACCTCGAGATTATCCAGCTCCTCAACAAGCGACGATTTCCATACCGACAAGTTCCAAAGCACCAAACATTCAGTGCTGTGTTTCGACATATTGGAACACATGGTATACTGTGTTAATATATCTTTTGATATTTAAACTCTTGCAGCTTGGTAACCATGTAGAATTGGATATTTGTTCATAGGACATTTTATGCTTGAAATGAATTCAGGAATATAATATTTAAGTTTGTACAGTGCATATTATGAACACACTGTATATAAGTTCTAATAATAATAAAAATATTTTCTAATGCCTTGGTATGATTCCCCACTCGACCATTCACTGTTGGGTTCTAATAATTAACAGTGCTGTTCCTGAAGTGGCGCTGGGAAACAGTAACAAAGCCTACACAGAACACAATTATTAAGAATTTAAACACAAGCTTGAGACTGGCATATTAGGTATATACACCTTGGCCATAAATCGAAAAAAAAAATAACATTAGTCTTTTTTTAATGAGACTAGCAATAAAATCAAAACCGTTTGTCTAGAATTAAAAATAAATATCACTCATAGATATGGATAAGAAAATATTAAAACTATTCCTTGTACACTTTTATTTAATCACAGCACACATTATTTGCATTTAAAATATTTGCTTGACGTTCATATGCCCCAGTCTGTTTTGTTCACCTTTTCTAGTAGCTTTTTCTGCTAAACTCTAGTCCCTGTTCTACCTCCACCTAGGTAATGAATTATTCAACTATTTAGTCAACAACGGGGTTTTACTTGTTTTACAGTAAGATACTTATCTTTAATGTTCAAGTTTTAGAATTTGAACTTGGATTAGGCCATTTTCGTCAATTTTGTCCTTAGAGCTTTTGGAAAAACACTTGGGAAGTACTCTCACAAATTTATTTTTTATTCTGCCTAGCGAAGAAATTGTGTATTAGAAAATATTCTGGTTTTTACCTTAGTGGTTAAGAAAAGCACAGTGGATACTTTTCCTAACTCAATAAACATTTATTACCTAGATGTTGGCCTCCCTTTATCACCATCCTACAATTTCAACTGTTTTGCTGTTAACTTTAACTTCATCTGTGACTTTATGATTGAGACTTCAACTTTATCTTAACATTCTTTGTCTGACTTTCAATTATACATGCATGATTATTGTGCATAGACCAATTAAATTGGACCGGCACGCTTGTGGTGCATGTTGTGTATTATTAGGGTAGGCCTTTACATAAGTAGCCATAATCTCTGCAGATGGTGAGAAGCCCAGCTCAAACCAACTACCATACTATCGTCATTGGATCTATAGGTCTCAAGTAAGATCACTTCATATTTTACATTTGTTAGAAGTGCACCTGCACACCACTGGTTGTGCTTCGCTGATTTACTGAATGTCTTGCATAAAGATATACACCTTTCAGTCTGAATCTACAAAAGTACCAAGACCAAGTAAGATTAATCCACATTTGTTCTTAATTTCGAGAAAGCTGTTAATTAAAGATTCTTTCTCCATGGTTAGATTACTTGACATTTGCGTCCTTGTACTTTCCGATAAAGACAGAAGCATTGGGCTCATAGAAAAACGAAAAACTAAAGATTGAGCTATTTATGTGCCCTAGTGCAAACGTGTGACGACTGATCCAATAAATCGAACTCTGTTTACTTTTGTCGCTTATGTGTACCAAAAATGTACTATTATTTTTTCTGTGAATGATTTCAACGCTTTAGGGTTAATTCTACCATTGTGTTAAAGTTTAAACTATTAATTGAAGATTAAAATTAAATTTAATGTAAAAATGTCATTTTAAACTTCGTTAAACCCAATGGTGGAATCGGCCCCAAGTTAGTTATATGATGGTCATTGATTAGTTGCAATTTTGCAAATAATATATTCTCCAGCGCTTAATAGCCACTTGAGTGATAATTAAATCAGTTATATTTTATTTCTTTCATTTACTTTATTCAGCACCTTTCGGCTGAAAACCGGGCATATTTAAGCTTTTAAACCCCCTTCTTTTATAACCTCGGCCTTCCACTACCTTTTAAGTCAATGTCAATAAAAAGGAAATTAATTTTTTTATAGTTCAAATAATGATATTTAACCAGAAATAGTACAATAAAAACTTGTAAATCCGGTTCTGCTCTTCCGCCATTTTAGTGAGTGCAAACGCCACGCCTACCGGTCCCACTTTTGTATATCAAAAATAATACAAATGACGTATCCTTACGTTGCCTTATCAATGGGTAGAATGCTTGTCAATAGGCTTGACATGCGACTCTATGGGCAAAGACAGGTTATTTTTCATTTCACTCGGGAGTATTTATAACAACCATTTTCTATTTCACTTTGTTATTGTCTGATCCACCAGCATGTGGATTGAACAATAACAAAGTGAAACAGAAAATGGTTATTATAAATACTCCCGAGTGAGATGAGAAATGAAAATGGCTGCGCCCATAGAGTCGCATATTGTTCTATTGACACAATATGCACATTGGCTTTCTACCCCACTCCAGTTCATTGCTTGCATCTAGTCCGCCATATTTGCAGATCTGCAAAGTTTCAGACGATTTTCAGACGTTCTGTAATCTCACCCTAATAACCAAATACTCATATAGAAACAGTTCATAGATGTTAGTGTTTTGTGGTTTTCAGTTATCCAATTTCCTGTTCCGTTCGTCATTGACAAATTGATTTGACACTTTCCTTTAAAAAGCCGTCGTAAGGAAGTGAAGTTGACGATTTTTAAAGCTTTACAAATTTTCAAGAATTGTAAAGAATTTATTAATTATTTCAACCATTTTATACTTTTATAATCTTGTAAAATATTTCCAATATTTTATAGATACAAAAAAGGTATATTTTTCACATATTCATTCAAAAACTCATCTTTTAACATTTTATAACCTTCATTCAATATTCCAGAACATTCAGCAAATCGTTAAACCAGCGCTTATAAATTTAGAAATCAATAGAAGCCTTACAACAGAAAAGCTGATACATGGCTGAGGAAAAGAGTAGAAATGCTGAGGTAGATATTTCCCCAAACAGAGATGGTATACTTTTAAAAGAAATAATCCAGGAAGGTACAGGAGATGCTCTGCCTCCGAAGGGCTCCAAAGTAACCGTTCACTATACAGGCACTCTCTCTGATGGAACCCAGTTTGATTCAAGCAGGGATAGAGATGAGCCCTTCAAGTTTGTTTTAGGAAAAAGTAATTCTATTTTAAAAAGATAACACCTATTTTTTTATTAATTAATAGCTTTTTTTGTTTCGCTTTATTTCTATTTTTCTTTTATTTTACAAGGATAACCATTTCTGGTATTGAAAAAAAAATGACTACCATTTTTCAAATTTGTCTTTTAAAAATGAAACTTAACTGACAATACTGACTGACAATTTAGAACAGAAATAACAGATTTTAAATATTAATTTTAGATATTTATTACCTTTAATGTTAGCGTTTTCTACAAAAGTGCCATTTTAAAATATCCAGTTATCTGACAATTTTATTGTAACATCTCACAATAATTATTGTGACACTAATCAGCAACTATAACTAAATATCCTTCAATTGAGACTTATACCATTGTGAGTTATCTCATAGTTGTAACTTAATATTTATCTTATGACTTATTAATCTCATAATTGCTAATTAATAACAGGTAATTAAGAGACAAGTGAATGAAGGAGCCCATTGTAACAAAAACATATTTTAAAGATTTTTGTGTTTAAAGTTTCTTTTATTTTTATACATCACCATAGAATATAGATCCTTTATTCCCTAGTAACATCTTTATTTGAAAGCACATTGTAACGGAACATAGTTTAAATGAATTTTAGGTATAGTCAGTTCATTTATGCAAAAACATCGATTCAAAAAGAAAGAACATTGGCCCTTTATCTACTTATGTCTTTAATTGTGAATTAATATCCCATAATTGTGAGTTATTATTGTACAATAATTATGGCTTATTATTTCATAATTGTGATTTACTAACGCCCAATTGCCAGTAATTAAATTTCAAGTTATATTATTATACTGTTGTGTGCATTATTATTTCACAATTATTACTTATTATCATATGACATTAATCTCACAGTTGCAAGAACATATCTGGCAATTGAGACTTATACCATTATGAGGTATCTCATAATTGTGAGTTGATCTCACAATTGTGATTTATTAACACTCAATTGTCAATTGATAGTACAAAATTGTGAATTATCTTATCACACCATTTGAATTTATTATTTCACAATAGTTTTCACTTATTTCAAAAATGTGACTTATTATCTTATGACATTAATCTCACAAGTTAATATTAGACAATTGAGACTTATACTATTGTGAGTAATTATCTCACAATTATGACTTACTATCTCATAATTGTGACTTATTAACACTTAATTGCTAGTTATTAGTTTGCAATTGTGAGATAATCATAAATATTTTCTTTTCTTAGAGAATGTAATAAAAGCATGGGATATTGGGGTAGCAACAATGAAAAAGGGGGAGAGGGCCATTCTAACCAGTGCCTCTGAGTTTGCTTATGGAGAAAATGGTAGTCCCCCAAACATTCCACCAAATGCTACACTGAAATTCGATGTAAGTTTACTTATATTATTTTAAGTTTTTTTTAACAACTAAACATTTTTTAAGGTTGAAGTTATAGATTGGATAAGCAATGATTTAAGTTCCAATCAAGATGAGGGTAAGGCTGAAGCAAAGATTAAAAATTTTGAGGTAGATATTTCCCCAAACAAAGACGGTATACTTTTAAAAGAAATAATCCAGGAAGGTACAGGAGATGCTCTCCCTCCGCAGGGCTCCAAAGTAACCGTTCATTATACTGGGACTCTTACTGATGGAACCCAATTTGATTCCAGCAGGGATAGAAATGAGCCATTTAAGTTTGATTTAGGAAAAGGTAATTTAATTATTTTTATTTCAAGAAGATAGCTGACCTATTTTTGGGATCTGTTTAATAATAGCCTTTTTGTGTTGCTTTAGTGATATTTTTCTTTTAACTTAGAACTTGACTGACAATAGTGACTTTGACAATTTAGAGCAGAAATAAAAGATTTTATAAAATGTGTAAATTTTAGATATTTATAACATTTGAAGATAGTGGTTTCTACTAAAGTGTCACTTTAAAATATAATTATCCAGTTATAAGACAATTGTTTCTTGTCTTACCATTATTGTGACACTAATAAGCAATTGCTTGTTAATATCAGTCAATTAAGACTTAGTACACCATTGTGAGTCCTCATATTTGTAACTTATTATCTTATGACTTACTAATTCCCATAATTGTAAGTTATTTCACAGTTTTAACTTATTTCAAAGTTTAAATTATTTTCCAATTATAACATTAATCTCACAATTGTGATTTATTAGCTCTCAGTTAACAGTTATTAGTACAAAATTAAGAGTTATATTATCACATATAATGGGTTAATATTTCACAATTGATTATCACACAATTGTGACTTATCACTGATTAATCTTACAATTATAAGATAATATCAGGCAATCAAGACTTATTATACCTTTATATACTTGTTATTTATTAACACTCAGTTACCAGTTGTTAGTATAAAATTGTGAGATTAATTCACAATTTTGTGAGTTATTATTTCACTTGTCACAATTGTCACTTAATATCTTATGACTTATTAATCTCACAAAAGTATCACTTTAAAATATGAGTATCCAGTTATCAGACAATAATTGTAACTTATCTCACAATTTTTGTGATACTAATAAGCAATTATAAGTTAATATTGAGCAATTGAGACATATAATTGTGAGTTATTACCTCATAATTATCTCACAATTCTGAGTTTAGTATCACACCATTGTGAGTTATCTTACAATAATTGTCACTTATCTCACAAGTAATTATGACTTATTATCTCATAATTGTGACTTATTAACAATTGCTACTAATAAGTATGCAATTGCTAGTTATTAGTTTTAATTTTGAGATAATCATGAATATTTTACATGTTTTTAGGAAATGTAATAAAAGCATGGGATATCGGGGTAGCAACAATGAAAAAGGGGGAGAGGGCCATCCTGACTAGTGCTTCTGAGTATGCTTATGGAGAAAATGGCAGTCCCCCAAACATTCCACCAAATGCTACACTTAAATTCGATGTAAGTTTACTTATATTGTTCTGTTGTTTTTTTTTTTAATTGTTTAAACGTTTTTTAAGGTTGAAGTTATAGATTGGATAGGCGAAGATTTGAGTCCCAATCAAGATGGGGGTATTGAAAGGATCCAGGTAACTGCTGGAGAAGCATATTCAACTCCCAATGAGGGGGCTCAAGTAGATGGTAAGTCTTTTTTTTCTATTTAACTTGGTTTATTTTCATTTTGTTGTTAATAATTTCTTTCTACTACTCCATCAGATTTAGACCTTATTGTTTTTATGTGGATGGGAACTCAATTTGGTTTTTAAATGAAAAAATGTTTTAATATGTTGTTGTGGTTAATGCTATAATACAAATTCTAAATAAAAACAGGAAATTAGATAAACATTTGATAAACTCAAATTTTTCCAATTTTATTATTTTCTTTAAAATTCAGATATTCTTTTTATACAAGTTATTGATGCCGTTTTAAGTTATTTTGATATGAGTTCTACACAAAAACAGGACATTAGATATCAAAAATTGATAAAACAGTAAAATTATGAATATTAATATATTTCAATATTAAGTTAAAAATGTTTTTGTCATAGAAATTGATAGTGTGTTTTATTAACGATTGATTGTGTGTACAGGTATACAATATATTAGATTTAATTGGTGGTCTTTTTTTCATCGACTCCTGTTTAAAAATTAAATTCCTCTTTATTCTTATGTCACCTCCAGTATGCTGCCGTCCTAAAAACAGATGCGGTATATACAAAAAAAAATGAATTTTAATATTTTTGCATCAATGGGTTCGTGGAAAGTTAAATTAACTTTTTGCCAAGCAGAAATGCTGAATAGGTTTCCAAAATATTAAAAATCCAACATATTAATTAGCCAGCTCTGAATACTTCATTTCTTGCTTTTTTCATTATTTATCTTTTAAAAAAATAATACACAAACAGTAGAACAAGTTTCATTTTTTTTTTTAATAAATTAACATAATTACTATAGGATAACCATGAAATCAAACAATAGCATTGTTAAATATTTAAATACTTTTGATGAACACTTTGGAATATAGATTATATTCAAATAAGGAAACCAATGTAATAAATATATTGTTCATTTGTAGGAAGAGGGTTGCATATCACAAAATGCATTTTTGCAGTAGAGGTTTTAAAATTGCCTTTGGCTTAATTTGAAAGACTATCTTTAAGGAGTGTGTAATGATAAAAAATGCTTGGTTTTCAAAAAAAAAGGATTATCTCTTGACTAAAAAAAATGTTACTTAAGGGCCAATCTTTTCAACTCTGAGTAAAGTTGAAAGTAACTACTTCCTGATTAACCTATAGGGCTATTGTTTGTTAATCTGTAAAGTAAACCAATATGTAACTTTACTCAGAGGTGAAAAGAATGGCCCTTAACAAAATATTATTTTTGTTACAACTGCTATGAAAAAGGGCGTTATTACAATAAAGTCAACATAAACGTACACATACTGAACTAAAAATAAATGATTACATTAATTTATTACTGAAACTCGATACAAAAAATTTAAAAAAATTATACAACTCCCAGAAGGAAACAAACCAAACGTGTTTTTCTTACATGTTTTTATAAAAACTTCAAATAGTACATATACATACATCCCTTCTTTTCTATTAGTTGACAGTAAACTTTTTATTTTTCCATAGCTTATACCCACTTTTCTTGTAAAAGCTTTCTTTAAAATAGTATACTTTATTTTATTTCTCATCTTGAATTTATTATTGCTACTTGATGAAAATCTTTTTGTTCAAAATTGCTCTAATATTGGATAATTTCACATTTTTAGGAATATTAATCATATAAAAACTTTAAGGTACAATAAATTAAATTCGTCTACTTTGTGAGGAGTTTCGGTCTTTTTAGCTGCTTGAATAATAAACCAATGTTGATCCGAACTTGACATAGTTTTTTATGTTTTTCTATCATGGATTGGACACTGTCCCCTTCACTCTGCACGTGTTCTGTAACAAAAGACTTATGTGTAACTGATTTTATAAGTAAATGATACAGTGTAACAGCCTAATGGAATAAATACAGATTGTGCATATTTATAAAAAATCCCGAAACACCCAATTTTAGTTTATAAAATGACATTCTACAAGGTGAAAATATTACCCCTACCTTTACCCCTCTTCGAGTGACAATTGCAACCCCCCAAATTTATAAATAGGAAGTAGGGGCTTGTGATACCTCATTTGAAAGGGCTCTTCATTCTCTATTCAAAAATGCTGTTATTTTCAAATTTATTGCAAAAAGTTACAAAAAAAAATTTATTCATCTGATCAACGAAATTTGTTACAACACCATAAACCAGAGGTCCCAAAACTTTCCAGCCTTAGGGCCCTATTGATTACTCCAGTAAGTTCCAAGGGCCCAAATAGTTTCAATTTTTCTGCAATTATCTATAATTTCTAGATTAGTCGCCCAGTACGCGCCCTGAGCGAGCACACGCTTGCTAAATTCGCTAGTTGAATTACTATTATGTATTGTTACGTTATTGTTATGTATTGTTATGACGAAATCTGGTGGTCAGAAGCGGAAATAGGTAGTGGTAGTACCCTCTATCACTAACAGATGGCGCTAGTAGTACTTTCGAAATCGCAGTAACAATACGCCAGTTTAGTGTGATGTCATTTTGGTTCCACTGACATTTAGTATTTTACATGTTTTAAAATGTGTGAAACGGTTTTTACGTAATTGTGATTGAAACAGTATTATTTTCTGCCAGAACGATTTTTTTTAACAAAAACATCAATAAATTTTACATATACGTTTTTACTGTTTTAAGTTTTTTTCTAAATATTTTTTGCAGGTCATAAAAAATAGTTTAAAGGTATGTGTATGCCACTCACTTCGAGATGGCAGTAATTGGAGTATAAAAGGCTAGCGGTGCGACCGCGAGTCAGTCTATGTTAGTCCAGTCATTTAAGCTTAAATTAGGTAAGAATCTTGGAACTGGAGATACCCAGCTGTAAGTCTGTAAATACTTGTATATTGACACGCTAAAAGTTATCTCAAAACCTACATATGGCAGGGTGTACGCAACTATTAAATTTCAAGGTCAAATGTTACAAAAATCGGTTTTTTGCGCTTTTTTGTAAATATCTCATTTTTTATGGGTTTTTTGCTATTTGTATTTATTATCAATATTGTAGAATACAAAATTCTCTACAAATTTTGTTTAAAAAAATTCAGATTACAGTAAGAACGTAAAAGCTATGGAGCAGCAGAGAAGATGAAACAATAGTTGTACCAGTTACTCAAGAAAAATTCTTATCAAATCGAAATAACAAAGATATGCTCATTAATATGTTAATTGAAAAATTACAAGCTGCAAATATTACTACTAAACAAGCCAGAGATAATGCTGATGTTCTTATTGTTGAAACTGCAATTGAAGAATCAAATTCTGAAAAAACTGCAGTTATAATAGGACAAGATATTGATTTACTTGTCATTTTAATTGGGCGTACACTGTCTTACGAACAAGACATTTTCTTTAAAAAAGTTGGGAAAGGAAATGTAAAAACGGGGATATACTTGACTAAAAGTTTTGATAATTATCCTCATTCCAAAACACATATTTTATTTCTGCACGCATTAAGTGGCTGTGACACAACTTCTGCGCTTTTTAAAAAGGGAAAAAATCATTTTTTAAAGTTTTTGAGAAACTGACAAATTTGAATGAACTAGCTGCAGCATTTGAGAAAGAAAATTGTTCGGCCCAGAGATTATTAGAGAGTGGAACTCAAATCTTATTGGCAGTCTATAATGCTCCGAAATCTGTGAAAAGTCTCGATCATCTTCGTTATATGCATTACGTCAAGTCTACAAAACTTAATTAACCTGTGCAGCTTTCAAATATTCCACCAACAAAAGCAGCTGCTCATCAACCTTTCAAACGTGTATATTATTAAGTTCAAACTTGGTTAAGGCATGATTTGGAACCCCAGGTATGGAGTTGGGCAATGCGAAACGATTTTCTGGAGCCTATCATGACAATTTTACCACCTGCTCCAGAAGATTTGCTAAATACAATTTTCTGCAACTGCAAGAGTGGTTGTGGTTCGCGATGCGGATGCAGGAAAGCGGGCTTGCAATACTCTAGCTTGTGGCCAATGTAATGGGCAAGCTTGTCTCAATGCTCTACCATATCAGAGCGACATTAAGAAGATGGAACCTTTGACTCCGAAATCATGGAAGAACTTGAGAGAAATGTCGTTGAAGACGATAATGAAGACCAGTTTGAAATTTACCAGCAGCCGGAAGACGACGATGAAGAGGAAGAAGATTATTAAAATTATAAATTGTAGTTTTTGTACCTTTTATTCCATTTTTTTACTTTTAATAAAAATAAATGTATTGAATGAAATTTTTTAATAAAAAGATTAATTCATAATTTATTTGTATTTTTTTTTCATCATGTAAGAATTTATTAATATTAATTAGGTTAAAATTCAAATATAATTCCTATATTTTCATTAACAATTTTGCAATTACATGGGCAGGTAAGTGTTGTTAAATAAATTAATACTAAATAAAAAGTGGATAGGTTAGGAAAAAAAATGATAAAATATAATATAATAGTTAATAAAAATTGACAAATATTTATAATCATTGATTTATCGATATTTCATCAACTATATATGGCGCGTTTTCGACCGGAGGCACCGGTTGACCTGAAGTGATGCTGTGACCGCGCGCTCTCCGTCATCTATCTCGAAAACGGTTCACCGTATGAAAAATTTTTTTAAACAAAATTTTTAGAGAATTTTGTATTCTACAATATTGATAATAAATACAAATAGCAAAAAATCCATAGGAAATGAGATATTCACAAAAAAAGCGCAAAAAACCGATTTTTGTGACCGTTGACCTTGAAATTTAATAGATGCGTACACCCTACCATATGTATGTTTTGAGACAACTTTTAGGGTGTCAATATACAAGTATTTACAGACTTACAGCTGGGTATCTCGAATTCCGAGGTGAACTTACTATAATGATTGGACTATGTAGGGAGGGCGAAAGAAGCGAAACTGTTGTGAAATAAAATAGTACATAACTGCGTTTAAAAGACATCTTCGGATCGACCAACGCCCTTACGTAACAGTATTTTGATTTGACTTGTTGTTTTTGTGTGATTTACT